GATATTTCTAGATTCTAACACTGACCTGAGAAGAATGTCATGTAAATTTATAAAATTCGTTTGAATAACAGAAGAAAGCCAACCAAAACTGTGTACTACTTGTGGTACTCATGGGTATTGGGTATGAGAAAGACGATAATAGTTAATGATAATGTGTATACATTTATCATTGCGGGATTTAAGAAGTGGTCCACATTTGTTTAAAATTAAACAAAAAAACATGTACATACTGACTAATGTTACTTAAATAAATGCTCTTACCTTTTTATATATTTCTTGATAACACAACTAAAAACTGATAGCCATTTTCCTTGCGGGCGGATGTGACGATAGAGCGTCACTACTGCGCATGCACGGTAAATCGATCCCACGTAACATGGCTATAATTAGAAATCACTAAAATTATAAATATTAGTTGCGAATATTATGGTATAAATTGTGGTCACCTATCTCTAACAGTGACAGGTTGAATTTCAAACCATGATGGTTCAACATCCGGTATCAAAACAAACATATCTTGAAAATTTCAGCTAAATCGGCTCAGTAGTTTCCGAGTCTATAAGGGGCAAACAAACACACAAACATTGATTTTTATATATATAGATTATCAGAGATTGAGACAACCAGCGACATACATTGGTAAATGGGCTGGCTCCCGCTACTAGAGAAATAATGGCAGATTTGAAATGTGAATGAAGGCAAATTCTTAGAATAAAAAAAGTTACGAAGAGAAGGAAAAAACACAGACAGTCTGTCAGATGAGAGTTTGCAATCAAGCAGGTCCCTGACCAACAAGTGGACCCCTACTGGTGTTCGTGAAAGACTATCCTCCTCACCCGGGTCATGAAGACACTCCAGACTAACTGGGCATGTGCCCAGGGCTTTTGACTTGTGATGGGAGCCATTCTCTGCTGCAGAATGATCATGTCGTCATGATATAAACGAGCATCTACAGACACGCTCAATTCATAACATACCAGTCCTTGGACAGACTCGACCGCACTGAGATTATATGAGGTGACCTGTTCCTTTCTCTTCCACAGGGCTCTTGTCAAGTGTTGAAGCAACTGAAGCGGGTCAATGGAAATCTGGGGCAGCCCCGACGGCAGTCTCTTGGGAGCTGTGGCGCTAGGAGAAGACTTGGGGCCTTGTCTCCAGGTGTGTGTTGGTTTGTGTGTATGAGTGAGAGACAGAGACAGAGAGAGACAGAGAGAGAGGGGGGAGGGAGAGAGATAGATAGAGAGAGAGAGAGTGAGTGAGAGAGGGAGAGACTGAGAGAGAGAGAAAGAGAGAGAGAAAGAGAGAGAGAGAGAGAGAGAGAGAGAGACTATAGAACAGTGGGATATTGTAATATCACAAATTTGGTGACCTTTTTTCTGTAGATGGATGGTTGGTTGTGTTGTTGATTTGTTAGTTGACTGTTTGGCTAGTTAGCTAAATAGTTGACTGACTGGTTGTTTGGGTGACTTGTTGATTAACTAGTAGTTTGGTTCGTTTATTTGTTAGTAAATAATTTTAATCGCTCTGATGCGGAAAAATTTGGCCATTTTCTACAAAAGGACTGACTGACTTTCCACCCACCAGGACATCACACAAGCGATAAACACCTGATGACACAAAGTGGCACCATGCGGATGAGGATACCCCTGGAGAGGTCCCGGAAACCGCGTTCAGCCATTAGGCCATATTTATGGCCAGGCTATATTGCAGCTCCTGGCAAGAGCCAGGGTAGGGCTTTAAAATAACGAAAAATTGCATCCCACAAGGGGATGACTTGTAATCACCACAACAGATATGACATTTTTTATAAATAATAATGAAAGTAGGTTGATTTTGGCCACACAGAAACAAACAATTTTGCTTAAATCTTTAACCAATATATTTTTTTAAAAAAGCATCGTTTCCTGTTTCTAGCATGATATAATTAGATTATATTGGTGTTTTTTTTTTGGGGGGGGGGGGGGGTGAGATATGGTAACAACCCTCACCACCAGAAATTGTTTGGCCTGCCTACCGATTGTCCAAGATATATGGCTGTGAATCCTGGACAATCAGTAGGCAGGCCAAACAATTTCTGGAGGCCTCGGAGATGTGGTTTTACAGAAGAATGTTTAGAATACCTTAGACAGCCAAAAAGAGCAACCAAGAGGTTTTGAAAGAGGCGGGAGCCAGAAGACAACTTATCACAGACATCAGAAGGAGACAGTCATAATTTTTCGGCCATGTTATGAGAAGAAGGAAAATAGAACATGTTGTGACCACTGGAAAGATCTGTGGAAGGAGAGATAGAGGAAGACAACGAGAGAAGATGCTTGACAGTCTTGTTTGCATGGCATGGAGGTGTGTCAGCACACGAACTGATACATGCTGCAGGAGATCGCAGATTATGGAGAGGCATGATCGCCCACGCCAGTCGGCAAGGCACCTGATGATGAGGATGATGATGAACCACCAAGTTGAAGCTGGCAGTTTGGTTACAGGTTACATGCCATCAAACCTTGCATCGACAATCGCGCAACCCTTCTCTCCTTACAAACTTGCTTTATCCATAGTTTAGGTGGTCTCGCCACAGTGAGAATCAATGCCCGGCCCTCTTTCTTCTGTGTAGGTATTTTTATTTACACATGACTGCAGTTATCTCTCATTCTAATGCCTGGGAGATTATAGTTCCCAGTAGATGTCGCAAACGAGGTCTTGGTCGGTCATGTCTATTGTCAGGTGCTCCAGCTATTGTCAGGTGCTCCAGCTATTGTCAGGTGCTCCAGCTATTGTCAGGTGCTCCAGCTATTGTCAGGTGCTCCAGCTATTGTCAGGTGCTCCAGCTATTGTCAGGTGCTCCAGCTATTGTCAGGTGCTCCAGCTATTGTCAGGTGCTCCAGCTATTGTCAGGTGCTCCAGCTATTGTCAGGTGCTCCAGGTGGAATTCAAAGACAAACCATGATCCATGATCAGCGTGACCCTTGCCCAAGTATGGCGACATGATCCATAGTCGTGGTGCTCATCTCCTACTGATTGTGCTAGAGGTACGGAGCTGGATTGTTATGCGATGTTCTCAGCTTGTGACTTGATACTTTGTGAAGAATAAAAATAAGAAATATAGTCTGGTGAAATGAAATAAATCATCACGCGCACGCACGCACGCACACACACACACACACAGACAGACACACAGACACACACACACAGACACACACACAGACAGACACACACACAGACAGACACACACACACAGACACACACACACACCTTAGCGCCCTTTCAGAGTGATGGGACAGGGACTTGCGACGTGAATCAAGGTTCAAATACAGCAAATCTAACCGATAAAGCAACAAGCTCTCAAAACAACCTTGTCTTACAGTCTCCGTTTCAAGAGATTTAATAGGGAAATATAATTTAAACAATATAATGTAAGGGCTCAAGAGGGTCAAATATTCAAAGGGATATAACTCCAGCGAACGATTACTTTTACTTACTGTTGGAACAAATAAAGGAAATGTACAACAACTCAACCACGAACCAGACTGTTAAATTAATGATTGTAGCCATAATGACACTTGGAAATTTAACCCGAGTATTGGCCACGGTCTGTGAGGAGTTAACAGTTCATTAATAATGAACACACGAAATACAGAAGGAGTTTCGGATTTATAGAATGTGTGTGTGTGTGTATTTGTGCGCACGTTGGTTTGTGTCAGTCTGTATTTATGTGCTTGTGGGTGTGTACGGGTGTGTTAGTTTCTCTTTTTAAAATTAATATCATGAATGGGTCAAGTGTAAAGCAAATGATGTCACTGGTGGCACAGGATTTTTAAAAAAAAAAAAGTGAATATCGCAGTATGTGTACATAGTATTATTCTAATACACGCAACCAAGCGTTTCCATCAAACTTTGTTTTCTTTTTTTCTGAATTCAACTGCCAACTATACTTCACCAGAAACTTAAACAATAAAGAGCATCCAATGACAGAAAAAAAAAAAAAAAGTGTTAGTTTCCCAATTTTCAACACCGTTGGCTGAAGAGAAACGAAGAACGTTAAGAATACAAAATAAAGTTGCCAGAAACATGCGACAGGCTGTCCTGGAGTCGTTGATGTAGTAGGTTCAACAGCGTCGACAGTCACGTGGAAAGGCACCGTAGACCTAGCTTAGACATCATAACGTGGGCTGCAGAAAACTACGAGCATACCCAGTTGTTTGCCCTCCGTCTAAGGATGAAATGTTTCGTTATTTGAAGCCCCACCCTGACTCTTGCCAGGGGTCGCAATATAGCCAGGCCATAAATATGGCCTAATGGCTAAAGGCGGTTTCAGGGACTTCTCCACGGCGATCCTCATTCACATGGTGGCACATTGTGTCATCGGGTGTTTATCGCTTGTGTGATGTCCTGGTGGGTTAGAAAGTCAGTCAGCCAACAACGAGCGATGATGATAGTTTCTCATGTTTGTCTAAATCACACTCATTATATTCTTCTCAGAGCACAGACAGACAACTGCAGGCAGACAGCGCCACAGACAGACCAAAGCAAGGGATTTAACTAAGGTACAGACCACGCTATATTTCAATACTTTATTGTCGAACGTTAGTGCCCATTCAGTCGTGACTAAAGAAATCTGTTCCGCCCCTGCAGGTCTGGGTTCCATTCTTTTTAGGAATGTTTTACATCATCATCACTAGTATCATCATCACCACCATCTCCCACTTTTACTTTTATATTCAGCATAGTGTGGAGTTCAACTTTCCTGCCCCGCACATGATGGATGGAGTGGATCTTTGTCATTCTGTGTGCGTGTAGAATGTCTTTAATGTCGTCAGTCGAACTTCTTCTTGGTCGCCCTCTTGCTCTCACAGTGGATCTGTTTAGGTGTCATGCCTGTGCTAGCAGTAGTCGCAGCTACTTTCTAATGAGATGACCAAACGGTTTGATCATAATCTCTCCAAATGATTTGGTGCAAAATTGATGATCCCCTTACTTCAACAACAATAATTATTTGTTGGCGTCAGTCTCACGGGGATTTAACCGGAAGCAGTATGGTGTTAGACACTGTGGTTGTGTCTCTGGGTGTCATCCATGTCGGTTCATCATCTTCTCCTGTATCCGCTGTCTGACGATGTCCATGTATCTACCCGCGTGTCTGTTGCCTGGCAACGTCAGTGTATCTCATTCTCAACCTTGTTTCAGAACCCGACAGCAGACGCCAGCAAACACCCGGACACCGGAGTCACAGACAAGCAACAGCCGTGCGTCCCTGTCTTTGTCCAGATTGAGCTGCTGAAGCCGAAAGATGTCTTTGTATGTTTCATTATACCAGTTAATTTTGTATTTGGTGTCTGTTTGTGCGTGTGTGTGTATTAATTTCCCTGTTATTTTTATATTTTGTCTGTGTGTGTGTGTGTAATTATCCCAATTATTACGAAAGGTTGCGTGGTCTCAGGGCATAGTGTCCGCCTCGAGTGCTAGAGATTCCGGGTTCAATACCCAGTAAGAACGGATTTTTTTCACGTGGACTTGGACTTCTAGTAATTCGCCCGGTCTCTTGGTTGTGAATCGGTCGCCCGTATGCATTGTTGCCAGCGTAAAAAATCTATTGTCAGTTGGAAGTCGAAAAGAGTAGCCTAACGGTGCTGATCGGGCGAAATTTAGAGTTAAAAATCTACCCAAAGGATTTTAGGATCCTCGCCGGTGCACTGCGCTGAGTTTCTGCGGACTCAGACTTGAAGTGCGTCTGTTTGTGTATATATGTATATTTGTGTGTGTGTGTGTGTGTGTGTGTGTGTTTCTGTCCAAGGTTTGCTAAAGCAGTTTATTTTTCCTAAAGAGTGGAGTGCTCGTTATCGTCTAGAGAGTTTAGTGCTTGGTGCAACACTGTGGAATGTATATTTCGTGTTGAATACCTGTCGCCTTGTACTGCGAACTGCCTTGTACAACAATGTTGCATGTATACGGTCAGCTTGTACCGACTGACGACAAGCTGCATCTCTGGTGGCTACTGTTGGCGCTGCCACCCAATGTAACAGCCTTATGTATTTATTGCATGTGCATGCTTCCGGATTTCCTAGGACCAGTGTTTGTTAAATAGTTTCTAACCAGGACAGTGAGGAGAATGTCACGTCGTTTGCTCTGCCACAGCAATAGAACAACTTTAATGTGATCCATCTGCTGTGACGTTAAAACTTCACCTACCGACTACCGACCCGACTACCGACTATGCTAAGTCTGTTGCCGAATGACATGGACAATAGTAGGCTTTAGCGTGATCGGAAATCATCATCAGGAGAGGTAAGGCAGCAACATTAATGAGCAGATTCACACACAAAAGTGCGGGAAAAGTGCAAATCAGGAAGGGAATGAGAATGATGGACGAAATTATTGCAGAAAGAATGAAAGCTGAGCGGTCGAGAAGAAACACACTGAATACAAATGTTGACAACAGTGTACCTGAAGTCCCAGGCTATAAACGTGGACGAGGGCAGGTCTTGCTGGTCACACTGGCCATCGCCATGGGCTGGAGTCCCATACCTAGCACAATGTAACATTATCGTCTGGAATGACGGAACGGTGCCAACAATATCTTGCCAACTCCAATGGCGGGAATGATTGGGTCTGCCACATTGTTGGTGCACTGAAATAACTGGTACTTGGGTCGTTGGGGAGGGAGGGGGGGGGGTGTGGGGTGCTCAGTGGTATAGAGTTATGGTATCCGCGTCGAGTGCTAGAGGTCTCGGTTTCAAGTCCCTGTGAAGATTGGAATTACTAGTCGTTAGCGCAGTTGACAGGAGGCTCGTTTTCAAATCCAGCTGCAGCCACGATCCGTGTTCGAAACCGGGTGGCTCCTGGGGTTTACGCAGCCTCTATGAAATGGGTACTAGAGTTAACACTCTGGGGTAACTGGAGGAACGTCGCTGTAGCTACAGAGTTACGTGCGGACGGCGACACAGGCAGACAGTTTCTTATCAGCTGTCCGTACTGGTGGCAGAGCACTTATGGTTTATAACCGTGTGCAATGACGCTAGTTCACATCTCCCGACTTTACCTTTACTAGTAATTTTCCCGGGTCTCTGGGTAGTACGATCGGACGCCCGTGTGTATTGTTGCGTACGTGGAATGAAAATACCTTGGTAATTGGAAATCAAAAAGGAGTAGCCTAATGGCACTGCTCGGGAATAATTTTGAGTTGAAAATCTACCCAAAGTATTTCAGGATTCTCGCCGGTGCCACGGAGTTAGTGCACTGTGCAGTGATACTTCAGGCTTAAGCGAGAAGTAGAACAGAGCACTTATGTGCTGCACCTGTGTGCCAAGATGTTGAACCTTTTCAGTTTTTGTATCGTTAATGAGGTTCTGTGCTTACTTCTGACTTGTTGCTGCAGAAACAAGTGGAAGGCTCTCAGTAAACACTTATCAGGTCGAGTGAAGTAGAGCCCGCGCTGTGGGGTGTGTATGTTTTTGTTCTATGGCATCACGCTGTGGTTATTGTAAGTTGTAGATGTGAATTTCCTGTGGTTAGACACAGCGAAGCTGCGATATCTGCCACGTTTAGCCAGGAATATCTCAACCTGTCTTACCCGCCATGCTTTACTTGCAGGGACTGAACCTGGTCAACAGCCACCTGGACTCGAACCCACCCAGCGTCAGTCTGGTAGGTGACTTGATTCTTTCTGCTAGGCGATAATTGTGAGGCAAATATTGTTTGTGACGATTAAATACGTCGATCAATCAGATTCGATTTTTTAAATGTTGTGCTCGGCCCTGAAAACCATAATGTATGTACTGGTGTACCTACCTGGCGTCTGCTGCTGATGTACCAGTTGTGGAGGGACACTGTATTACCCCAGTGGTTTATTTTGTCACTTCCATAAGCTTGACTCTGCTTCTCGGCACTACACCTGTCCACAAAGTCGAATCACCTGTCCACAAAGTCGAATCACCTGTCCACAAAGTCGAATCACTTGTCCCCAAAGTCGAATCCTCAGTGTTCCATGCCAGGCAGATACTAACCTGACAGTGTGCATACTGACATTGCAATCAGCGCCCTGATCTACCAATAACTGACAGGTTTCTGTCTCAGGTAACTTGACCACACTCTCCCCAGTGTCATCAATACATGGTATGGCCGTGCTTCATTTCCTGCCCGTCACAAACTTATTCATCCCCAGAGAGAGTATTTTCTAGTCTGTCCACTTCTCCAGCTGGAGTCTCGGAGTCTCCACTGTCGACATCCATGCTGACTTTATCAGCTTTAAAACTGCATTTCCAGTGTCGGACCGTTTGTGTTAGCACCTCTGATGGCTGCCTAATTCCTTTCATGCGTGTGCATGCTAACGGATATGCTGAGACTGTAGTCTGTATCAGTCTTTCCACAAGGCACAGTGATGGACATTGATTTTTTTTTCCGATGGCACTGGAACACACGGAACCATTTGCCTGCTAACGCTAAGACCTAACAATTGAAACTATAAAGAACATTAGAGCATTGGGACAACAATGTTTACACAAGCCACCTGTCCAACCTTTGGGACTTGGCCTGGTGTCTGTTGGCACTGAAATATCTGACATGTAGAAACATCAGACAGCCTGAAACACCTGATACGTATTAGAGATACACGATCAACCTAGACCAAACCCCAGCCAGTCTGTGCGTATCTTGTGCTGATGCATGAACTTTTTATACCCTCATATGTCTTGCCAGTGACCAGCACAACTTGGTGGAATACTGATGCATGAACTTTTTATACCCTCATGTCTTGCCAGTGACCAGCACAACTTGGTGGAATACTGATGCATGAACTTTTTATACCCTCATATGTCTTGCCAGTGACCAGCACAACTTGGTGGAATACTGATGCATGATAAGGCAGCTGTGGTTAGTGCCTTGTGGGAGAGCGTGTACAGTTTAAGCTGGTGAGACTGATGCAGGGGGAGGGGAGTGACGAGAGGTTGGACGTTTAATCAGAATGCTATTGGCACCATTAGTATCAGAACTTTTTACTGGCTGCTGAAGATGGGGACGGAATGCTTATGAGAATACCCAGAGTGCACTGTCTCGCCACTGATGTCAGTGATCAGTCTGGCACATCCTGCTGGTTTCTGAGCACTAACAGGATGAGGACAGCTATGCAAGACTACCCATGGAATACGTACTTATCTGTGTGAAACATCTCTACCTTTCTTGATAGAAGCAAGCTTATACCACTTGGACATCAATGCATCATATTTAGAAGTTTAAACACAATCTTCCAGAAAATCATTGAACAACCATACTAGATATCTAGTCAGTGTCCAGACTGTGAGTATCTGACATAGGCGTAATCTACCTTTCAGGTGAGTCTTGGAGCAGAGTGTGTGATGCTCTCCAAGGCGTTCTTCATCAAACACGCCAGCGACTCTCTGAGGAAGAGATTTGCCGAGATCATCCAGCCATACCCTGATGAGGAGACATTACAGGACAGCCTCCAGACGAAGGTCAACTGGGAACTCTACAAACGTTCTCTAATACTTCAAGTAGCCGCCCACAGACAGGCTGTCATCCCTAGACCGCCTATAATGACATACATGCCATAGAGGACAGATCCTTGCCTGACACACAGCTCAGGGTTGATACTAACAACAGACATCATTTGCCATCACCACACATCCCAACATCACCTATCACAGAGACATCACCTCACATCCTAACATCGCCCATCACCACACATCCCAAAATCACCTATCACAGAGATATCACCACACATTCTAACATTTCCCATCACCACACATCCCAACATCACCTATCATAGAGGCATTATGACATCCTAACATCGCCCATCACCACACATCCTTACATCATCATGTAGTCCCTCGGATTCTGCATGTGTCATAGAATACAGAAAAAAAAAGATTGCATATGTCAAAGGATAGAACAGAAAATGATTGCATGTGTTACAGGGTAAGACAGAAAAAAGATTGCATAAATCAAAGGGTGTGATACAAAAAATGATTGTTTGTGTCAAAAGATGCATCATAGACAATCAAAAATTTGATAGTTAAGAGACAGGAAAGGAACTGATTTAACTGTGAACACAAGATACTGGGTTGATACGAATACACATTTGTTTATTAAGTGATCAATATAAAAACGTCTTGCATAGATACAGTTTATCAAATGTAATATATACATAAAACAAAACAGCATTGACTTGACAGCATGCGCCACAACTGTTGCCACTACAAGTCTCAACAGCATGCGCCAAAACATACAACTACTGTCTCAACAACACAACCAGTCTCAGCATGCACCAAAACATACAACTACTGTCTCAACACAACCAGTCTCAACAACACAACCCCTGTGTGAATATCTGTGACTGCTGTTATACACAGACTTATCATCTCCAAATGTAGAAACCTACTACTGTCGTTTCATTATTTCAGGTCTTCTCTCATGGTCAGGTCTTATGCTACTGTCAGGTCTTCATGTGGGGTCCTGTGCTGTCATGTCTTATGCTACTGTCAGGTCTTCATGTGGGGTCCTGTGCTGTCATGTCTTATGCTACTGTCAGGTCTTCATGTGGGGTCCTGTGCTGTCATGTCTTATGCTACTGTCAGGTCTTCATGTGGGGTCCTGTGCTGTCATGTCTTGTGCTACTCCTGCTCTCCTGACAAACACTCATCCTCCACCAGCAAATATGGCTCCATGTTGCGTTGTGACAGACACTCATGCTGGCTGCCTCTGACGTTCCTCCAGCTCTCCTGACAAGACACTCATCCTCTCACCTGCTCTCCTGACAAACACTCACAAAGCCTCTCACCTGCTCTCCTGACAAACACACTCAGCCTCTCACTTGCTCTCTCCTGACAAACAACACTCTCTCCTTACAGAACCTTCCTCACCTGCTCTCCTGACACTCATCCTCTCACCAGCTCTCCTGACAAACACTCATCCTCTCACCAGCTCTCCTGACAGACACAGCCTCTCACCAGCTCTCCTGACAGACACTCAGCCTCTCACCAGCTCTCCTGACAGACACAGCCTCTCACCAGCTCTCCTGACAGACACTCAGCCTCTCACCAGCTCTCCTGACAAACACTCATCCTCTCACCAGCTCTCCTGACAGACACAGCCTCTCACCTGCTCTCCTGACAGACACTCAGCCTCTCACCAGCTCTCCTGACAGACACAGCCTCTCACCAGCTCTCCTGACAGACACTTGGCCTCTCACCAGCTCTCCTGACAGACACAGCCTCTCACCAGCTCTCCTGACAGACACTCATCCTCTCACCTGCTCTCCTGACAAACACTCATCCTCTCACCAGCTCTCCTGACAGACACTCAGCTTCTCACCTGCTCTCCTGACAGACACTTGGCCTCTCACCTGCTCTCCTGACAGACACTCAGCTTCTCACCAGCTCTCCTGACAGACACTTGGCCTCTCACCTGCTCTCCTGACAGACACTCAGCTTCTCACCTGCTCTCCTGACAGACACTCATCCTCTCACCTGCTCTCCTGACAAACACTCATCCTCTCACCTGCTCTCCTGACAGACACTCAGCTTCTCACCAGCTCTCCTGACAGACACTCAGCTTCTCACCTGCTCTCCTGACAGACACTTGGCCTCTCACCAGCTCTCCTGACAAACACTCATCCTCTCACCAGCTCTCCTGACAGACACAGCCTCTCACCAGCTCTCCTGACAGACACTCATCCTCTCACCAGCTCTCCTGACAGACACAGCCTCTCACCAGCTCTCCTGACAGACACAGCCTCTCACCAGCTCTCCTGACAGACACTTGACCTCTCACCAGCTCTCCTGACAGACACTCGGCCTCTCACCAGCTCTCCTGACAGACACTCGGCCTCTCACCAGCTCTCCTGACAGACACAGCCTCTCACCAGCTCTCCTGACAGACACTTGACCTCTCACCAGCTCTCCTGACAGACACTTGACCTCTCACCAGCTCTCCTGACAGACACTTGACCTCTCACCAGCTCTCCTGACAGACACTTGACCTCTCACCAGCTCTCCTGACAGACACTTGACCTCTCACCAGCTCTCCTCCTGACAGACTCCTTGACCTCTCACCAGCTCTCCTGACAGACACTTGACCTCTCACCAGCTCTCCTGACAGACACTTGACCTCTCACCAGCTCTCCTGACAGACACTTGACCTCTCACCAGCTCTCCTGACAGACACTTGACCTCTCACCAGCTCTCCTGACACAGACACTTGACCTCTCACCAGCTCTCCACCAGCTCTCTCCTGACAGACACAGCCTCTCACCAGCTCTCCTGACAGACACTTGACCTCTCACCAGCTCTCCTGACAGACACTTGACCTCTCACCAGCTCTCCTGACAGACACTTGGCCTCTCACCAGCTCTCCTGACAGACACTTGACCTCTCACCAGCTCTCCTGACAGACACAGCCTCTCACCAGCTCTCCTGACAGACACTTGGCCTCTCACCAGCTCTCCTGACAGACACTTGTCCTCTCACCAGCCTCTCACAGACACTTGCTCTCACCAGCTCTCCTGAGACACTTGACCTCTCACCAGCTCTCCTGACAGACACCTCTCACCAGCTCTCCTGACAGACACTTGACCTCTCACCAGCTCTCCTGACAGACACTTGTCCTCTCACCAGCTCTCCTGACAGACACTCGGCCTCTCACCAGCTCTCCTGACAGACACTCAGCCTCTCACCAGCTCTCCTGACAGACACTCACCAGCCTCTCACAGCTCTCCTGACACACTCTCTCACCAGCTCTCCTGACAAACACTTGTCCTCTCACCAGCTCTCCTGACAAACACTTGTCCTCTCACCAGCTCTCCTGACAGACACTTGACCTCTCACCAGCTCTCCTGACAGACACTTGACCTCTCCTGACAGACACTCGGCCTCTCACCAGCTCTCCTGACAGACACTTGACCTCTCACCAGCTCTCCTGACAGACACTTGAACTCTCACCAGCTCTCCTGACAGACACTGGGCCTCTCACCAGCTCTCCTGACAAACACTTGTCCTCTCACCAGCTCTCCTGACAAACACTTGTCCTCTCACCAGCTCTCCTGACAGACACTGGGCCTCTCACCAGCTCTCCTGACAAACACTTGTCCTCTCACCAGCTCTCCTGACAAACACTTGTCCTCTCACCAGCTCTCCTGACAAACACTTGTCCTCTCACCAGCTCTCCTGACAGACACTTGACCTCTCACCAGCTCTCCTGACAGACACTTGACCTCTCACCTGCTCTCCTGACAGACACAGCCTCTCACCAGCTCATCTGACAGACACTTGACCTCTCACCAGCTCACCTGACAGACACTTGACCTCTCACCAGCTCACCTGACAGACACTTGACCTCTCACCAGCTCTCCTGACAAACACTCAGCCTCTCACTTGCTCTCCTGACAAACACTCATCCTCTCACCTGCTCTCCTGACAAACACTCATCCTCTCACCAGCTCTCCTGACAAACACTCATCCTCTCACCAGCTCTCCTGACAGACACAGCCTCTCACCAGCTCTCCTGACAGACACTCAGCCTCTCACCAGCTCTCCTGACAGACACAGTCTCTCACCAGCTCTCCTGACAAACACTCAGCCTCTCACCAGCTCTCCTGACAGACACTCAGCCTCTCACCTGCTCTCCTGACAGACACTCATCCTCTCACCTGCTCTCCTGACAAACACTCATCCTCTCACCAGCTCTCCTGACAGACACTCAGCCTCTCACCAGCTCTCCTGACAAACACTCATCCTCTCACCTGCTCTCCTGACAAACACTCATCCTCTCACCTGCTCTCCTGACAAACACTCAGCCTCTCACTTGCTCTCCTGACAAACACTCATCCTCTCACCTGCTCTCCTGACAGACACAGCCTCTCACCAGCTCTCCTGACAGACACTCAGCCTCTCACCAGCTCTCCTGACAGACACAGCCTCTCACCAGCTCTCCTGACAGACACTCAGCCTCTCACCAGCTCTCCTCTCAGCCTCTCACCAGCTCTCCTGACAGACACTCAGCCTCTCACCAGCTCTCCTGACAAACACTCATCCTCTCACCAGCTCTCCTGACAGACACAGCCTCTCACCTGCTCTCCTGACAGACACTCAGCCTCTCACCAGCCTCTCACCAGCTCTCCTGACAGACAGACACAGCTCTCACTAGCTCTCCTGACAGACACTCGGCCTCTCACCAGCTCTCCTGACAGACACAGCCTCTCACCAGCTCTCCTGACAGACACTCATCCTCTCACCAGCTCTCCTGACAACACACTCCTGACAGACCTCTCACCAGCTCTCCTGACAGACACTCAGCTTCTCACCTGCTCTCCTGACAGACACTTGGCCTCTCACCTGCTCTCCTGACAGACACTCAGCTTCTCACCAGCTCTCCTGACAGACACTTGGCCTCGCACCTGCTCTCCTGACAGACACTCAGCTTCTCACCTGCTCTGCAGACAGACACTCAGCTTCTCACCAGCTCTCCTGACAGACACTCAGCTTCTCACCTGCTCTCCTGACAGACACTTGGCCTCTCACCAGCTCTCCTGACAAACACTCATCCTCTCACCAGCTCTCCTGACAGACACAGCCTCTCACCAGCTCTCCTGACAGACACTCATCCTCTCACCAGCTCTCCTGACAGACACAGCCTCTCACCAGCTCTCCTGACAGACACAGCCTCTCACCAGCTCTCCTGACAGACACTTGACCTCTCACCAGCTCTCCTGACAGACACTCGGCCTCTCACCAGCTCTCCTGACAGACACTCGGCCTCTCACCAGCTCTCCTGACAGACACAGCCTCTCACCAGCTCTCCTGACAGACACTTGACCTCTCACCAGCTCTCCTGACAGACACTTGACCTCTCACCAGCTCTCCTGACAGACACTTGACCTCTCACCAGCTCTCCTGACAGACACTTGACCTCTCACCAGCTCTCCTGACAGACACTTGACCTCTCACCAGCTCTCCTGACAGACACTTGACCTCTCACCAGCTCTCCTGACAGACACTTGACCTCTCACCAGCTCTCCTGACAGACACTTGACCTCTCACCAGCTCTCCTGACAGACACTTGACCTCTCACCAGCTCTCCTGACAGACACAGCCTCTCACCAGCTCTCCTGACAGACACAGCCTCTCACCAGCTCTCCTGACAGACACTTGACCTCTCACCAGCTCTCCTGACAGACACTCGGCCTCTCACCAGCTCTCCTGACAGACACTTGACCTCTCACCAGCTCTCCTGACAGACACTTGACCTCTCACCAGCTCTCCTGACAGACACTGGGCCTCTCACCAGCTCTCCTGACAGACACAGCCTCTCACCAGCTCTCCTGACAGACACTTGTCCTCTCACCAGCTCTCCTGACAGACACTCGGCCTCTCACCAGCTCTCCTGACAGACACTCAGCCTCTCACCAGCTCTCCTGACAGACACTCAGCCTCTCACCAGCTCTCCTGACAGACACTCGGCCTCTCACCAGCTCTCCTGACAGACACTTGTCCTCTCACCAGCTCTCCTGACAAACACTTGTCCTCTCACCAGCTCTCCTGACAAACACTTGTCCTCTCACCAGCTCTCCTGACAGACACTTGTCCTCTCACCAGCTCTCCTGACAGACACTCTCACCAGCTCTCCTGACAGACACTTGACCTCTCACCAGCTCTCCTGACAGACACTTGACCTCTCACCAGCTCTCCTGACAGACACTTGACCTCTCACCAGCTCTCCTGACAGACACTTGACCTCTCACCAGCTCTCCTGACAGACACTTGGCCTCTCACCAGCTCTCCTGACAAACACTTGTCCTCTCACCAGCTCTCCTGACAGACACTTGTCCTCTCACCAGCTCTCCTGACAGACACTGGGCCTCTCACCAGCTCTCCTGACAAACACTTGTCCTCTCACCAGCTCTCCTGACAAACACTGACAGACACCTCTCACCAGCTCTCCTGACAAACACTTGTCCTCTCTCAGCTCCAGCTCTCCTGACACCAACACTTGACCTCTCACCAGCTCTCTCTCCTGACTCTCACACTCCTGACAGACACCTCTCACCAGCTCTCCTGACAGACACTTGTCCTCTCACCAGCTCTCCTGACAGACACACTCTCACCAGCTCTCTCACCAGCTCTCCTGACAGACACTTGACCTCTCACCAGCTCTCCTGACAGACACTTGACCTCTCACCAGCTCTCCTGACAGACTCTCACCAGCTCTCCTGACAGAGACACTCAGCCTCTCACCAGCTCTCCTGACAGACACTTGTCCTCTCACCAGCTCTCACCAGCTCACCCTGACCAGCTCTCCTGACAGACTTGACCTCTCACCAGCTCTCCTGACAGACACACTCATCCTCTCACCAGCTCTCCTGACAGACACAGCCTCTCACCAGCTCTCCTGACAGACACTCACCTCTCACCAGCCTCTCACTTGTCCTCTCACCAGCTCTCCTGACAGACACTTCTCACCCTCTCACCAGCTCTCCTGACAAACACTTGTCCTCTCACCTCTCACTCACCAGCTCTCCTGACACTGGACCACTTGTCCTCTCACCAGTCCTCTCTCCTGACAGACACTTGTCCTCTCACCAGCTCTCCTGACAGACACTTGTCCTCTCACCAGCTCTCCTGACAGACACTTGACCTCTCACCAGCTCTCCTGACAGACACTTGACCTCTCACCAGCTCTCCTGACAGACACTCAGCCTCTCACCAGCTCTCTGACAGACACTTGACCTCTCAGCTCTCCTGACAGACACTTGACCTCTCACCAGCTCTCCTGACAGACACTTGCCTCTCACCAGCTCTCCTGACAGACACTCAGCCTCTCACCTGCTCTCCTGACAGACACTCATCCTCTCACCAGCTCTCCTGACAAACACTCATCCTCTCACCAGCTCTCCTGACAGACACAGCCTCTCACCAGCTCTCTGACAGACACAGCTCTCTCCTGCTCTCTCCTGACAGACACTCAGCCTCTCACCAGCTCTCCTGACAGACACTCAGCCTCTCACCAGCTCTCCTGACAGACACTCAGCCTCTCACCAGCTCTCCTGACAGACACTCAGCCTCTCACCAGCTCTCCTGACAGACACTCAGCCTCTCACCAGCTCTCCTGACAGACACTCACCAGCTCTCCTGACAAACACTCATCTCTCACCAGCTCTCCTGACAGACACAGCCTCTCACCAGCTCTCCTGACAGACACTTGTCCTCTCACCAGCTCTCCTGACAGACACAGCCTCTCACCAGCTCTCCTGACAGACACTCAGCCTCTCACCAGCTCTCCTGACAGACACACTTGCCTCTCACCAGCTCTCCTGACAGACACTCAGCCTCTCACCAGCTCTCCTGACAGACACTTCAGCCTCTCACCAGCTCTCCTGACAGACACTCAGCCTCTCACCAGCTCTCCTGACAGACACTTGGCCTCTCACCAGCTCTCCTGACAGACACTTGACCTCTCACCAGCTCTCCTGACAGACACTCAGCCTCTCACCAGCTCTCCTGACAGACACAGCCTCTCACCAGCTCTCCTCACAGCCTCTCACCAGCTCTCCTGACAGACACTTGACCTCTCACCAGCTCTCCTGACAGACACTTGGAACCTCTCACCAGCTCTCCTGACAGACACTTGCCTCTCACCAGCTCTCCTGACAGACACTTGACTCTCACCAGCTCTCCTGACAGACACTCAGCCTCTCACCAGCTCTCCTGACAGACACAGCCTCTCACCAGCTCTCCTGACAGACACACTCACCAGCTCTCTCACCAGCTCTCCTGACAGACACTTGGCCTCTCACCAGCTCTCCTGACAGACACTTGGGCCTCTCACCAGCTCTCCTGACAGACACACCTCTCACCAGCTCTCTCACTTGACCTCCAGCTCTCCTGACAGACACTTGCCTCTCACCCGCCTCTCACCAGCTCTCCTGACAGACACTTGGCCTCTCACCAGCTCTCCTGACAGACACTTGACCTCTCACCAGCTCTCCTGACAGACACTTGACCTCTCACCAGCTCTCCTGACAGACAGCCTCTCACCAGCTCTCTGACAGACCAGCTCTCACCAGCTCTGACAGACACTTCACCAGCTCTCCTGACAGACACTTGACCTCTCACCAGCTCTCCTGACAGACACTCTGACACTTGACCTCTCACCAGCTCTCCTGACAGACACTTGACCTCTCACCTGCTCTCCTGACAGACACAGCCTCTCACCAGCTCTCCTGACAGACACTTGACCTCTCACCAGCTCACCTGACAGACACTTGACCTCTCACCAGCTCACCTGACAGACACTTGTCCTCTCACCTGCTCTCCTGACAGCCACTTGTCCTCTCACCAGCTCTCCTGACAGACAGCTCTCTCACCTCTCACCAGCTCTCCTGACAGACACTTGACCTCTCACCAGCTCTCCTGACAGACACTTGACCTCTCACCAGCTCTCCTGACAGACACAGCCTGTCACCAGCTCTCCTGACAGACACAGCCTGTCACCAGCTCTCCTGACAGACACAGCCTGTCACCAGCTCTCCTGACAGACACTTGCCTCTCACCAGCTCTCCTGACAGACACAGCCTGTCACCAGCTCTCCTGACAGACACTCAGCCTCTCACCAGCTCTCCTGACAGACACTCAGCCTCTCACCAGCTCTCCTGACAGACACAGCCTCTCACCAGCTCTCCTGACAGACACTTGTCCTCTCACCAGCTCTCCTGACAGAACACTTGTCCTCTCACCAGCTCTCCTGACAGACACTCAGTCCTCTCACCAGCTCTCTCTGACAGACACTGACAGACACAGACACCTCTCACCAGCTCTCCTGACAGACACTTGAGCCTCTCACCAGCTCTCCTGACAACACTTGCTCTCACCAGCTCTCCTGACAGACACTTGTTCCTCTCTCACCAGCTCTCCTGACAGACACTTGCCCTCTCTCCAGCTCTCCTGACCTGTTTACTAGCCAATCTCACCAGCTCTCCTGACAGACACTCAGCCTCTCACCAGCTCTCCTGACAGACACTTGTCCTCTCACCAGCTTTGTTGTATTTCAGCTCAGAAGCTCACACCAGCTCTCCTGACAGACACGGGGCCTCTCACCATTAAGTCTCCACTGTGTTTATTATGGGGCATAGTTATTAAAAGCTTGCGGCATTTTAAATATCTTCATCATTGATTTTCTTTTCTTTTTGGGGTGGCAGTTTTGTCTGTGGAAATTATTTTTATTGTCTTTAAATTGACAATCATATTTTGATTTTACTGTGTTTTGGATAGGCAGTATTAAATGTTGTAGTCAAACATCGTCTTCAAGCAAGGAAGAAATTGTACAAACACAAATTTATTCTAACATCTTAGATACAGTGATCTGCTCCAGTGGCACAGTCAGATGTTTCCTTATCTCGTGCCCCAGCAGTCTGATGCTCCCAGCACAGTCTGGCACTCCCAGCACAGTCTGGTACTATCCCAGCACAGTCTGGTACTCCCAGCACAGTCTGGTACTCCCAGCACAGTCTGGTACTCTCCAAACACAGTCTGGTACTCTCAGCACAGTCTGGTACTCTCCCAGCACAGTCTGGTACTCTCCCAGCACAGTCTGGTACTCCCAGCACAGTCTGGTACTCTCCCAACACAGTCTGGTACTCTCAGCACAGTCTGGTACTCTCCCAGCACAGTCTGGTACTCTCAGCACAGTCTGGTACTCTCCCAGCACAGTCTGGTACTCTCCCAGCACAGTCTGGTACTCTCCCAGCACAGTCTGGTACTCCCAGCACAGTCTGGTACTCCCAGCACAGTCTGGTACTCCCAGCACAGTCTGGTACTCTCCAAACACAGTCTGGTACTCTCAGCACAGTCTGGTACTCTCCCAGCACAGTCTGGTACTCTCCCAGCACAGTCTGGTACTCCCAGCACAGTCTGGTACTCCCAGCACAGTCTGGTACTCCCAGCACAGTCTGGTGCTCCCAGTACAGTATGCTTTTCCCAGCACAATATGCTACTCAGAACACACGTCTGGTACTCCCAGCACAGTCTGGTACTCCCAGCAGTCTGGTACTCTCCCAACACAGTCTGGTACTCTCAGCACAGTCTGGTACTCTCCCAGCACAGTCTGGTACTCTCAGCACAGTCTGGTACTCTCCCAGCAAAGTCTGGTACTCTCCCAGCAAAGTCTGGTACTCTCCCAGCACAGTCTGGTACTCCCAGCACAGTCTGGTACTCTCCCAACACAGTCTGGTACTCTCAGCACAGTCTGGTACTCTCCAAGCACAGTCTGGTACTCTCAGCACAGTCTGGTACTCTCCCAGCACAGTCTGGTACTCTCAGCACAGTCTGGTACTCTCCCAGCAAAGTCTGGTACTCTCCCAACACAGTCTGGTACTCTCAGCACAGTCTGGTACTCTCCCAGCACAGTCTGGTACTCTCAGCACAGTCTGGTACTCTCCCAGCACAGTCTGGTACTCTCCCAGCACAGTCTGGTACTCTCTCAGCACACTCTGGTACTCTCACAGCACAGTCTGGTACTCCCAGCACAGTCTGATACTCCCTGCACAGTCTGGTACTCCCAACACAGTCTGGTACTCTCCCAGCAGTCTGGTACTCTCCCAGCACAGTCTGGTACTCTCCCAGCACAGTCTGGTACTCCGAGCACATGTCTTGTACTTCCAGCACAGTCTGGTACTCCCAGCACATGTCTTGTACTCCCAGCACAGTCTGGTACTCACAGCACAGTCTGGTACTCTCCCAACAGTCTGGTACTCCCAGCACATGTCTTGTACTCCCAGCACAGTCTGGTACTCCCAGCACAGTCTGGTATCCCAACACAGTCTGGTACTCTCCCAACACAGTCTGGTACTCTCCCAGCACAGTCTGGTACTCCCAGCACACATCTGGTACTCCCAGCACAGTCTGGTACTCCCAGCACACGTCTGGTACTCCCAACACAGTCTGGTACTCCCAGCAAAGTCTTGTGCTGCCAGCACAACTGCTGCTGCCAGGTCAGTTTGTTTACAATGACTCCAGAGCAGTATCTTTACCAGGGATTAGCTCCCATATTCTTAGACATGAGACTGAACATGTACTTCCTACCGTTGCTTTTGTGATATATCTGCCTATGGTATGAGAACCTCTGAATGGCGGACGGCAATACAGTTATAATGATCAAACGCGTATCTAGGCTATGAAGTGCAGAATTACCTCGGTATATACACGACTAGAGTCCCAGCAAATCCTCGTACATACAATTTACAAGTGTACATTAATGAAACTGCAACATGCCGCACTACTCAAACTTGGGTATTCAGTAACCGCCATATTTAAAATACTTAATGAAAGTGAGTAATGAACTGTGATGAACTACTATCTGTCTCTCATAATCAACAAGTCGTCTCCTAAGAAGACTGCAATTCATTCAGCACTTCAGTTCTGGAGTTCTGCTGTGTAAGGTGGACTGCTGTGTAAGGTGGACTGCTGTGTAAGGTGGACTGCTGTGTAAGGTGGACTGCTGTGTAAGGTGGACTGCTGTGTAAGGTGGACTGCTGTGTAAGGTGGACTGCTGTGTAAGGTGGACTGCTGTGTAAGGTGGACTGCTGTGTAAGCTGGACTGCTGTGTAAGGTGGACTGCTGTGTAAGCTGGACTGCTGTGTAAGGTGGACTGCTGTGTAAGGTGGACTGCACTTGCTGGGGAAGCAGACAAAGGCAGCTGCTGACAAAACAGCCACAAGTTGATACAACAGTCCTTGTCCTCTAGTGATGGCAAACAAGCTGGTGTCCAACCATCCACGTGGACACGGGTAACCACGGCAACATGGTGCAACATAAGCCTCATGGAATAAAAATGTCTGAAGGAAGATGCAGTTCAGTCTTGTTGCCAACAGGTGCACTATAACTGCCAACAGGTGCACTATAACTGCCAACAGGTGCACTATAACTGCCAATAGGTGCACTATAACTGCCAATAGGTGCACTATAACTGCCAACAGGTGCACTATAACTGCCAACAGGTGCACTATAACTGCCAACAGGTGCACTATAACTGCCAACAGGTGCACTATAACTGCCAACAGGTGCACTATAACTGCCAACAGGTGCACTATAACTGCCAACAGGTGCATTATAACTGCCAACAGGTGCACTATAACTGCCAACAGGTGCACTATAACAGGTAACTGACTCAAGAGTCAACTGTACAACGTCAGTAAGTCAAACCACTTCAAGCTGAATACACTCACAGCACAAAGTGACTCGACCACAATAGTGAACACACTTACAGCACAAGGTGACTGAACCACAATATTGAACACACAGCACAAAGTGACTTGACCACAATAGTGAACACACTTACAGCACAAAGTGACTCGACCACAATAGTGAACACACTTACAGCACAAGGTGACTGAACCACAATAGTGAACACACTCACAGCAAAAACTGACTCGACCACAATATTGAACACACAGCACAAAGTGACTGGACCACAATATTGAATACACTCACAGCACAAAGTGACTTGACCACAATAGTGAACACACTCACAGCACAAAGTGACTCGACCACAATAGTGAACACACTTACAGCACAAACTGACTCGACCACAATAGTGAACACACTTACAGCACAAGGTGACTGAACCACAATATTGAATACACTCACAGCACAAAGTGACTGGACCACAACAGTGAACACACTCACAGCACAAAGTGACTGGACCACAATACTGAACACACAGCACAAAATGACTGGACCACAATAGTGACAACAATCACAGCACAAAGTGATTGGACCACAATAGTGACCACACTCACAGCACAAAGTGATTGGACCACAATACTGAACACACTCAACATTCTCTCATCCAATGTTTGTTGCTGACCATCAGGCACACAACATTCTCTTATCCAATGTTTGTTGCTGACCAACAGGCATACAACATTCTCTTATCGAATGTTTGTTGCTGACCACCAGGCATACACCATTCTCTCATCCAATGTTTGTTGCTGACTATCAGGCATACAACATTCTCTCATCCAATGTTTGTTGCTGACCACCAGGCATACAACATTCTCTCATCCAATGTTTGTTGCTGACCACCAGGCATACAACATTCTCTCATCCAATGTTTGTTGCTGACTATCAGGCATACAACATTCTCTCATCCAATGTTTGTTGCTGACTACCAGGCATACAACATTCTCTCATCCAATGTTTGTTGCTGACTATCAGGCATACAACATTCTCTCATCCAATGTTTGTTGCTGACCACCAGGCATACACCATTCTCTCATCCAATGTTTGTTGCTGACTATCAGGCATACAACATTCTCTCATCCAATGTTTGTTGCTGACTATCAGGCATACAACATTCTCTCATCCAATGTTTGTTGCTGACTATCAGGCATAAAACATTCTCTCATCCAATGTTTGTTGCTGACTATCAGGCATACAACATTCTCTCATCCAATGTTTGTTGCTGACCACCAGGCATACAACATTCTCTCATCCAATGTTTGTTGCTGACTATCAGGCACACAACATTCTCTCATCTAACGTTTGTTTCTGACACTGCCTACCTCTAACATCTGCTGGGAAGAATGTTGCCAGGATCTCACTGCACATGCGCATCAGGTTGGAACACTGTGCCAGGTGGGTCTGCAGAGGGTTGCTGGGCAATGGTGCCTTCATCAGGGGTGCCAAATAGCCAAATACCAAGGCATCAAGAGAAGACGGTCTGGTTCATTGAAGGATAAAACATGCATTAGCATAAAACCATGTATTAGCATTATAAAACTTGCATTAGCATGATAAAACATGTATTAACATAAAATCATGCATTAGCATGACAAACAGTGTATTAGCATGACAAACCATGTATTAGCATGACAAACCATGTATTGGGATAAATAATGTATTAGGATAAACCATGCACAAGCAAGGATAAACCATGTGTTGGCAGGATAAATCATTTATAAGGATAAACTGTATATTAGCAGGATAAACAAAGTAATAGCATGATAAACCATGATTTGGGATAAACCATGTATTAGGGTAAACCATGTATTAGAGTAAACCAAGTATTAGGGTAAACCATGTATTAGAGTAAACCATGTATTAGGGTAAACCATGTATTAGAGTAAACCATGTATTAGAGTAAACCATGTATTAGAGTAAACCATGTATTAGAGTAAACCATGTATTAGAGTAAAGCATGTATTAGGGTAAACCATGTATTAGAGTAAACCATGTATTAGGGTAAACCATGTATTAGAGTAAAAACCATGTATTAGGGTAAACCATGTATTAGGTAAACCATGTATTAGAGTAAACCATACCTTATATTTGAGGGAAACCATGTTTTGGAGGATAAATCATGGATTTGAGTAAACCCCTGTTTTTTAGAGTAAACATTTTAAATTTGAGTTAAAACCCTGTAAATTTGGGGATAAAAAAAATGTATTAGAGTAAAAAACCCTTTATTAGAGGAAAAAACCCTGTATAGAGTAAACCATGTTTAGGAGGATAAAACATGTATTAGAGTAAAAAAAACCAAAATTTTTTTAGGGGTTAAAAAAAAAGTATTAGAGTAAACCATAATTAAAAGGGAAACCCTGTATTAGGGTAAACCTGTATTTTGGGGGGGAAACCCTGTTTTAGGAGGGGTAAAAACCCTATATTAGAGGTTTTTTTTTAAAAAATGTATTAGGGTAAAAAAAAGGGATTAGGGGGTAAACCAGTTTAGAGTAAAAACCCTATTAAAATTTTTGAGTAAACCATGTATTAGGGTTTAAACCCCTGGAAATTTGGGTTTAAAAAAATGTATTTGGAGGGTAAACATGTATTTGAGTAAAAACCCGGGAAGTAGAGTAAAAACCCTGTATTTGGGTTAAAAAAATGGATTAGGGTAAACCATGTATTTTTGGAAGGGGGTAAATTGTATTAGGGGAAACCTGTATTAGAGTTTAAACCCTTTTTATTAGGGGGTAAACCCTGTATTAGGGGGGAAACCAAAGATTAGAGTAAATCAGGGATTTGGTAAAACCCTTTTTATTTGAGTAAAAAATGTATTAGAGTAAAAAATGATTAGGAGGATAAATATGTATTAGAGTAAAAAAATGTTTTTAGAGGAAAAACCCTGTATTAGGAGGGGGAAAAAAACTGTAAATTTGGGGAAAAACCCTGTTTAAAAGTAAAACCCAAA